TGTGTTCCTCGTGTGTCATCGTGTGATATCTTGTTGTGTGTATATTGTGATCAAACGAGATCCGGACACAACACCGTTACCACGCTCGGTATGTTTTGCACCTTCAAAATGCAAAGTGATGCTGCAAGACTGGATGTCACCTAGTATCGCTATGAAACGAAATGGTCAAGAATTAGTTATAGAAGAAGATTGCATAGAAGATTGCATTTCCTATTTGGGTAGTTGTGTGAGCAAAGCAAAGCAGCGAAGGAGAGAACCACAGGCAGTTCCAAGACTCGATCAGCGTACGGAGGACTGAATCACCTTTGGTGTAGACGCGACGTTTCACTGAAGTTGTAAAGGCCGTGTACCATAAGTAGTACATTCCACACGTCTGAGGCCAGACTGTGTGCCAAGCAAATCATGGAACAACAATCTTTATAAAAAAAGGAACGTTTCATTTACACGTAGGCCAAAAACTGCCAGGTTGCTCAAGCCAAGGCAGGTGAATTTTCTTGAGGAATTCACAACGGGAGCATTCGGCTAACCAAATCCTGGCCCGCAAAGCTGCGGGGAGGTGTGTGAAAACCGAAAACCATTAAGGGCCGATATCCAATGCATCGGATCCTACGCCCATTGGACAGAGTCAACTGTCCAAGATGTCTAATACACCTAAATACCTAATAGAGCCGGTGACTACAGCAACAACTAGGAAGGTGTGTGGTTCGTGAGCCTCCTCTTGATTTGTTTGACATCATGGTTTTGAACTAACTTCCCTAGGTGAACTACCAGTGGTTCACCAACCCAGCTATAGCCTCGGATGTCAGTTTTTCGTTTTCTCACTTCGGTGGGAAAACACCGCCTCAGCAAAAGCTATTTGAGACGCTGGGTCCTATGGGAGCATTCCGCGAGATTCAGGAGAAGGGTGACCAGCTGCGAACCCCGACCACCCTGAGGTCGTGTACACTGGGTTAGTTCTACTTTAAGGTTATGAAACCTTGAATTCGCAAGCAGATCTCGAGTGAATGGTAGTTTTCGATTATCAATGTTCACGTTGTCTTGATCACAAGGGATGCAGCGAATGGGTTTGTAATCTGGAGTTAAACCATCGTGCATTTAGGAGTTTATAGGAACAAATGTATTGGGATACCGAATTCATATTTGTGGGTTTCACTGGCAATGACACGTGTAGCACATGATTGGCTATCGTTTACCACACCGCGTCTGATTCACTATTGCGCTCAGGGGCAAAAGAAAAGCCCGTGGACGTTAAAAGATGACGTGGAGTCGAGACCTGAAGAAATGCACAGAACCGTTAGGTAGAGTGGATGTCTCTTGTCTTCCAGATTGGGGTTCAAAGGTCAATGTACCTGGTTACTTGGAGATACTGAAGGATATGGCCGCGAACCGACAGCGATGAGGCTCTTGTTGTCATTTCTTATCCGGTCAGAATGCTTGAAACGGTATGTATGCACAGTTCAATCACGTACTCTGTATTGCCCATAGATATCCATTTCTTTTGCCCTCCCTTAAAATAGAAACAATCCCTATCCACCATACAATTTCAATAACTCTGTATGTATTGAGAGTTTGGCAACAATCAGTGAAGTTAATCTCACTGTATTTCGCTGTGTGATGATGATCAATGGATAGTGGAATACTTCATGCACGGCCTAGCTCAGATCAGTTGAAACTAAAAGAATAATGTCCGCGATCAAATGATGTTTATTATTAAGACTATCTCATTGTCTCCCTGTTGTGTACACATGCACGCAGACGTCAGTAACAACGGCTAGACTGTAGTCCATCAAGGAGTTCATTACATTTGAGCCTGTCCATAAACAAGGCACGTGGGGTAGCAGGTTAGACAGACAGACATATTCGCACGAAAAAGATCGTCACACACACAAGTGCAGGTACCCAAGACCAAACTAATTTTCTTGTCCCACGCGTGCTTGTTGTACATATACAACCGTGTTCACGGGGTGTAGAATTAGGAAATTGTCACAAATCGATGACCTTGACAACATGATTTGTCGCGTGCCTGGATTATCGTGCGAACGCGAAACGGACATCCGTAAGAACAAACTGCCCCAATAAGCAGGTTGAGTTGATTTGATTGTGCGGTCATTGCGTCGGGAATAACGAATCAGAAAATAATGTCAGCCACACAACTGTTTCTGTCTCAGGCTGCGGGCTTAGGTTCGACAGACCAAACCACCAATACGTAAAAAGATGGGAAAACTTTTTTTCAATCTAAATTATCGTGTAGCGAAGGGACCAATGAGAACACAGCTGAAAAGACTATTGGGATATCAGAAACTTCAACTGAAATTTACCGATTTGCTCATATGCGCACATACTCTCATGGATGATACCCAACTGTAGGTTTTCTTATCCACTCGTTACCTCGAAAAGTGCGAGCACTTCACAACCATCTTTAATGTCACGATTATGCTAAATGATATGAAGTAACCATACGTTCAATAGTTCATGGACATGTTTTGGAGGGTGAATGTTTAGATTGGCTCATTCGGTTTTGTGCAGGAACCGGGCACTATTGATGATGAAGGGCGAATATTCCAAAACGAAGGTTCGCGGTTAGAGTCCTGACAGGGACATATGAAGTGCGAACTACTGCGGAGTCCCCAAACATGAACCAGCCGTCCAGTGCTCTATGACGGTCATTACAAAAATTTACATGGCATTTTTTATTACACACAATTGTGTGATCAACAGCAGATGAGGTGGACCCCATTGTCATGAAGACCTGTTGTTCAATGATGGGATCCGGCAACATAAGCTCAGGGACTAGGAGCGGCAAACCATATAAGACCTCTCTGGGTTAGATGTGGTACTGAACAGGACAGAGAGCTTTCTAACACCAAAGTTGTTTGCAGCTATCCTTCTTCATACTCGTCATCCACAGAAATAAACATCATATTCGCCTCACTTTATCAGAGTATCATCAGGAACACTAAATTCCTCGCACAGAGATGTAAAACCGCATAAGCATTTACATGATTTGGAAAGAAACGGACACACGCGCCACGTAAATCCAATGTCTACGTTACATCGTAGTTTATAAACAACAAGCTCACGCAATGTGAAGCCAAGATTGTTGTTGACTTTAGTCTGTACCCAAATGCGGAATGGATACTGCGCACGGAAAACGAGCTCCAGTTTGTTTCGCCAGTCTTCCTTGAGATGATCTCTCTGTTCAACCATATGCAATCAAATTTATTTATCCCACCGTTGTAATGCGAGCAACGAGGGTAAAACTGCTACATAGGGCATAGACTCGATACGCGGGAGACAGACAGACACCACAACGAACTCCACTAAAAAGTGGAACGAACCAGATTCCAGAATATTGACACAGTCTACGGAGTGTTCCTCCTCCCCCACCCCCAAACCCCCGGCAACACATAAATGGTCCGATATTCCCGAAATGACCTCTCTATCATTCAGAGAAAGAGTGAGCAACTGAGATCACGGGGGGTTCGGAAAGGAAGAGGAAATAATCGAGAAAATCTTACCGAATATAAACTTCCGGCGCTTTTTGCAATTGTGCGATAAGAGTGGCCATAGTGGTGACACGCTTTGATTGGAGCACGCAGCTTTGAATGGCGGTGTAAAGTGCTTCCATTTCCGATTGCAGATTACACAGCCAACTAGAATCGGTGACACAGCAGGAGATAGAGAGAGCATCATCAGTTTTTATCAAGATGATCATTCCCAACAAGCAACAAAACAAGTAAACATTGCGAAACAAATTAGAACTCACGAGTGGATACAGAAAAGTGATCTGTACCAGACAGATAGTTAAACTACATGCGCATCTATCCAGAATTTAGGCGAGGTAAAACAATATGAACCTGGATGCCGCCACCACGAAATTGTTCCACTGATTTATTAAGAGAAATGGAAAACAGTGGATATAAGATTAACTTATATCTGCGGTTATTCAAAGCCAACATTCACAGCATCTGACGGGTTACTTGTGGTTTTCTCTGCTCTGAAGTAGAAACAGTGTGAAACGCTTCGAAACGTGGATGATAAAGATGTCATGAAAACATCGTCAATCACCAAGCGAAAGCTTATTTCGACTTTGGTAATCCGACACCCGGGTCAAACAAACGGGTTTGCTCTCACGAAATTCAGTGTCATATCTACCTTCAAAGTAACTAAAAAGCCGTGACGCTACCCACAACACAGTTGTTCTATCTATCTTCTATCCAGAAACCACCTGAATTGGTTCTTATGTGCAAACATATCACTATCGCATGTAACTCATCACTCCAAGACTCAAGATTTGGGTTGAGGACTACCATAACTGAACAGAAGGCGGACTATGGAGCACAATGGTTCAACCAACAGAAATAACCCCTCGGGGCAGNTCTCGTGTCCTTGGTCCACTCTCCAATAGGGGTTTCCATCATTTATAACAGTCCAAAATGCTGAGGCATGCGTTAACGGTCACACTTCAATAAACCGCCCGACACACGGATTAAACGGGAGTGATAGCAACCGGTGTGCCAAGGACTGGTTGTTACAAGAAAGGCCAACTTGCTCCATTTGAAACGAACCCGAGGGGGTGGATACGACGTTTGTCACAGTACGACTACATTTCCAATTATAATCTCTCTCAATGATAGACAACAAGTGGGAAGTTCGCATGCTAGAGTTTCACCAGAATACTGTTATTATATTTAGAAGTGGAGATACTGCGAAATCCTTTAAGAGGGCTATGAAACTTCGTTGTGGAGTGCATTTCATATGTGACCACATAAGAAAAGTATTTTTTACTTTACAAATCTTTCTATGCTTCAATAAGAGTTGCATACAATGAGATCTACTTGACGTATTGACAGTGGCAAGTTCGAGGAGATAGGGTTCCAGAATTCAATGACACGTTTTCTCGAAGAATATCATACTTGATCGGTCAGATTAACTCATTTTGAGGATCATACTGAAACCAAACCACAGACAAAAGAACAAGGATGAATGCGTAAGGGAACTCACTGTTGTCTCTGTTTGAGCGCAAACGCCAATTCCAACTTGCTTTTCATTGTCTCATCCAATAGATCGCACAATTGACGAAACATGTATAGCACAGTTTGGAACTCGTTCACACATCCGGACAGCTACGTAATGATTCACGCGTTAAGGGGACATAAAGGGATAGGTTCGATTAAAAAAATCAGAAAGAACGACATAAAACAAACGAGAACGGTGAACAGATGGACAGATTAGACGACAATAAAGCGAACATTTAACCGACAAGACAGCTTGCTTAATCCTATTCATGGAAGTGAAAAAGAACATTTTGACTAACAGCGCAACAATGCCTGATCACGTGCACAAAATCTAGTAGCAAAATATTGCACGTGACAATGCAACTCATATCAGCTGACTGTTGAACATCGATATTTCAGCCAACTGCACCTGAAGAAATAGAGGATGATCGTAGCAAAGAAATAAACACAATGCCGAAAAGGTGTAAATCGTTACTCACCTTTCGTGCTGCTCATAACATTACATTCCCAGGATAGAACAATGCAGAATAAATGTGAATCCCGGGTTTTAGCACGGCCCATTACCCCGTGGAATAATCGCTAATGCCCTAGCAGTATGTTAGGTGTCAAATGAATTTGAATGATCAAAGCATTCAGATTGGCACAAATTCATCACCGATCTGATATTGCCCTGAAAATGGAGATAGGCGAGCAGAAAGCATTACCTGCTCGGCGCGATGGAAATCACTCCAAGTAAACACGTGTGACACGAAGCTTGGTAGGATCCAATGAGAGCTGCATTAAGTTGGATCACATGACACCGGTTCTTAAACATGATCAAAGTGTTTATAGAATGACAAAAATGGAAAACCACTACTACAAGTAGCTCCACATCTGATCTGTGATTTTACGCACTTTTACCTACTCTCGCTTTAACGAACAGGATAACAACAACCAGGAATAATTTGAAAACAGCAATAATCAGAAAAGCACCGTTAACATGAGAAAAACTGGTATAGATAAACACCTGTTAGTCTTATAGTAACAAGATGATTGTAATAATAAAAAAATGCACGCACGTCAGGCATTCCTTCATCACCTATGTGCGTATTCTCCAAAAACTATAGAGATGTAAAGGGTACATAATTGCAAGTTTGTAAAACAGACTCAAAAAAGTATCTATCTGGATTCCCATGATCACCGTAGCAACTGTGCAATCGATCATACACATATATAAATGTGAAAGTATTCCAGTCACCACGAACCTTTGGGACCAAAAACAGACTAAGGCGCACATGAAGGAATCAATAAAAGACCATTTCCGTTGTGAACGGGTGATTTTTGAACCTGTTCGAACAATTGTTTTCACCTCGTTAAGGTGAGAGCAGAATCAGTCAACTCATCTGAACCTGGAGTGAATTGAACTGATAGTAAACACTGCTACAAGATAAGGTGAAAATGTGATGGACTCGGTGATTTAGCACGTAACTAAACTGACGGACCAGTCGATTGATTAACTGAACAAACGAAAACTAGTACTCTCAAATTAAAATCTTCCGATTAACGGAAGTTCAAAAGAGATGACAGAATTGTTTCGTGAACCCGGAATATGGTGGAAGTTTTGCGACGCGTCAGTATCCCTTCTCTACGTTATCTGAGAAAAAAACATGAGCTAATGGGAAGCAGAGACGAAGAGACAGTTCTTCCATGAGTGGTGGTGGTCAAGAGGTGAAGATCACCAACGTATTGCCCCGAGCGAGCATATTGGAATCGTACCACCACCGCCTGAATTCCTCTATTTGGCGTGTTGTATAGTAATCCTCTGACTGTTCGCATCACCCTTCCTGCGAATTTACCATCGTATGTTCCATAAAAGAAAGTAAAGGAGTTAAATAAAGAACTCTGTGTACTCAATATAGTTGTAACTGTTACATCTATAGAAGGATCAGCATTCTTGATCTTCTAGCGCTGGACGGACCGAGTAATATTGCTAACCCATGCCCCCTCCCCCAACAACGTGCTAGTTTGTTTGACCCTTTACAACAAGGTTCACATGTCACACATTACCCGTGTATACTGTCATCAGAGGCACTTTTTTCATACGCTGACTGACACAGCCATTCCTTTGTCACCCATCTGACACCCCTGCACCTTGTTGGTACAGCTGCCTGTTTGTTCGCTGATCAGTCTTGTGGTTCACTGTCAAACAGTTGACCTGAGAATTGATCTGTGAAGACCGCTTCTCGTGTTACTCAATTGTGACTTATTTACCTGTGTCCCAATCATTTCACGCCTGTCCCCACCACTCTGTTCCCTGTGACCGTTTGTTACCCTATCACTTAGTCAAGTCGTGCTACATTGCGTTGTTTAGGCCTCTACGCAATCGCTTTTCATTCGTGATCCCTCATTTTTGCCCATTCCGTCCGTTAGTTAAGAGAAATTGTCCCCCGCCGAATTTAATTTACTGTGAAGTGAATTCTGTTTGCACCACCGTGTGACTGACCTGAAATGTAAACTGGAACCGCATATTGTCGTGAATCCAATGGGTTGTTTTCGCATTATCGGGAATGGCTGTAGCTAACGGGCAATCGATATAACTTTCAGTGACTATAAAAGACAACCGCGAATGGCATAGATAATTTGCATCTTTATGTGGGCAACATATTTATCCGGATATATGATCACAACTCACTGGAGTGTCCGAAGGAATTTAGACAAAATCAAATCAAATCAGACCTTTCGTATGCATGTGACGCGACTTAGTAATTTCTGTTTCATGATTGGCGGTCAGCAAATGACGTGCTACGGATCACGTCAAGCTGTGAATAATAGGGTTGAACGGTTGATTAGGAAGCTGTTCAAAATGCTCTGTCCATCTTTTTTTTTTAATTTTCTCATTTTGTTCTGTAAACAACTGGCCTGCGGCATCACATATAGCAGACTTGGGCTAAGCGAGTGTCAGATAGAGTCAAGTACTGTGTCATACTTGGTTTGCTTATTGTGAGCACGCATTGACTAGAAGTTTCATTCTTTACTTTTGCTTTCGCCTCGACAAAATATGTAGGAACAGATCGAGGTGAAAACGCAGGAGATGCGACTACTAGCGCGAACTATTGTTTCACTACTCGAATTTCTTTTGTTCTATGTTTTAAGTTTACGATCACTGGAACAATACTGTGAACTGCATATGGTCAACCAGTTGGTTATCAGGATCCCGCCAACATGCGGTTTACGTAACCGTGACTCATTCAGATGAAAAAACTTTGACTATTGAGATGAAATTCCCGAGTGAAAAGAAAGAAAAATCACAGTGTAATCAAGTCCTTCAATGCAGCCTTCGCACGGTGAAAGCATTTTCCTCAAGGTAACATACTAATCCTACAGTTCGAACATAGAGGGGGAATGCTAAGCTAAAGACAAGTGGCTCATCCGGGTAGAAGAGGAGGAAGAGGTGGGACAACCTCAAAGGAAGTCCGATTCCTTTTAAGCCGGTGTCAACCGATTAGATTGTTCAGTTCAAAATGAGTGGCGAGATCATAGACTTTAGAACAGCCAGCATAGGCCGTAATAGCTGGTGGATTTGTTACGCATGTTACCGGATGGGCCTTCACAGCGTGCGATGTCTGTGGGGGCAGGTAAATCGACGAGACTGATTCATGCGATAGATTTATCAACCATATACTGTCAAATGAAGAACACTGCCTCCATGTCCATGTCAATAAATCGGTGTCTCATCCGAGTACGCGTTCCAAATTTAGGATCTCAGTGCAAACACTATCAAATATAAAAACAGCAATATCCCTTATTTTGCTCGTATCTTGGTCAACCGAGCAAATATCAATACAGACTTGAATAATCATCTCTCACATTAGATTTTTTCATATCCATCTGTTTTCCATTTGGAAAATATATATTCTTCCTGTTACAATGCTTAACGTTTTTCTCACTGCAACTTGTGGAAAGTGCTGAAAATTTATTTTATTTGGTGCATAAAGCTTCACTTGAGTTAATTTGTATGTGTGCAAAAGAATACATGAGAAAGAGAGGGCGAAATAGAACCCCCAGGGGTCAAAGTATCGAGAGATCGAGAAACACACTTACGTCACGCCCATGTCGACGCAACTCATTCAGAATTTTATGCACTCTGTGAATCTCTTCACTTTTCTGTGTCGCCTCCTCGGTTAGCAGGCTCACGTGCGTGAGATGTTGACTAAAATAGGTTAAATTTAACACTTCTCGCGTCTGATGGACCAGATCCGTGGAGATGTACTGCTGCTGCTGGTGGAGGCTGGACACGACTGGACATAAATCCGTTCCATTAGGAGAAACAGTCTCAAGCGAGAGCTGCTTCACAGTCGGATCATTGGCCGTGTCCGACGACGAATCACTGCTATTGCGTGGACTGGCCCGTGTAGAGGCGGAGCACGAGGCGACCAAGGAGAGTAGCTGCTCCATCCGAGTCATTTGTCTAACGATCGAAAACAAAAAGCGGGAGGGTGTGGAGTAAAAGAGAGATCAAAAATATAACCAGTGGTTCAAGCTGAATTTGTTTCGCGGATGCATCTCTGAGCCCGCAAAAAAGCACACAGTAGATTGCCTTATTTTTAGATAAACGCTCAAATAGAGTCAACCATAGACTACTTTCCTGATGAAAAATCTCCGTAGTTCATCAGCTGAAAAACAAAACTGAGGGAATAGCACGCAGTTCATTAAAATCCCACAGTCTGGTTAAGATAATGGGTATCCGGAAACTTGGACACATATGTCCGAAAGCATTTGGTAGAAGAATAGCTCTGACTGTGTTGATTCCAACTTCTTTATCGAACGGGAGGTTACGAATTTTATTTTGTTTCGTCAACGCTTTCATGACGCTTGCAGACTACCCCAGATGACGGACAGAAAGCGACTGTCTGCATATGTTCAGGCTGAGGAATCGCGTATCGGCGCACCAGTGCACGCGTGGACGCATGGTATGAACGAGAACGCAAAATCACATGACCATCATATGTATCGATCGCTGAGTGATCCCGACAGGTTTGTCTGTATTTAGGATGCAAATTATTGGGACACAACGTAACGAGACAGAAATCGGATTGCTCGTGCATCAAGGCAAAAAAGGAAGACTGTTTAGGACATATAGAAAAGTGAACTATGGCGTGGTCAAAACCGTCATATTTAACGGGTTGGTCTCCGCGGTTTCAGACGAACGTTTAGGCCATTGGCGGGACCATAAAGAAAGATAATTTGTAGAAAATAAAGGTAGTTAGCGAGATGACACAATTCCGCCACAAAGAGAATGAGAAGCTGACCTACACTCGAAATTTCATCTGTGATGCTTGAAAATGTGTGAACTGTATACATAAATACACAATCAATTGAGTTCCCGGGTGGTATTGAGATCCAACTGTACACAATGGTTTTTTTCAGCATGGAGATTCAAAAACACGTTTAAACCAAAGGGAACCAAGTTTCCCGTTACCAGACTGAAATTGGATGCATTGGGCACAGCTCAAGTTCAAAATTCAGCGAATAAAACAGCAAAGGGAACCTCGTGACGTTTCCTTGCAAGAGAATGAAAATGAAACTTAGTTCAGTTATACGCAGTGTATGATAAAATTGGGCTAACTGTTTCAAATAAGTGCGGTTTCCCATGAACGATTCGTAAGTCAACTGGATACGTACTAAGGCTCAGATAAAAACCATGTTGAATGTACTGCGTACTGGGAACTGGTTCCTGTGAACCGACAACCATGCTATCCATACCAATAGATTCACGTGGTGTCTAACTGGATTACAGCGCTGTCAATTGACCCATTTAGTTTTCTTTATCGCGACCATGAAACAAGTGTATTTTATTGACGGGTGCGAGAAGATGAACGCTGGCTTAGCGCTGTGGGAGACTCCCTGATGTTTATAAAAATACCTTACGATTGAGCGCGATATATTCGATAATCTATTTTGTTTATGACCACTTCATGGATTCATTTCAACCAATGGCCAGATAGACATTGTTTCCGTGAAAAATCGTATCATAATACCAATTGCATTCATTTCCCATTTTTCCAGGTCCAGACAGTGTCAAACAAAATCGTGCCACATTCGCTGGCGCACTAATACTAGGAGGACTAAGGCAAAACCGATACTTTTCATAGACACTCCCAACCTAGATCTTGATCTGTAAAGCACTAAGGTGTGTGTGAAGATCCCAGTTAACCGGAAGCTCGTATCAAGATTAAAGGATGAGATAGTGATGCATATTGGATACCCGAGCAGGAGAGGGGTCAATTTCGATTATTGCGTGTGATCAACACACTTATTTGGAGTACGTCGAACAAATAAAAGCTTTTCCTTAATGGAAACACAACAAGGAAGCTGTGCAGTTCTTTTGTAATCCATGCGATACTAGCTAACCTTAAACTATTTTTGAGGTCAATCTTGCAACATGCTACCCTTTAGCAGTGATGATCAGACCGAAACAAGGAACATGAGCTTGGAACCTATCACCAGTGTTTTTTTCATATCTTATCAAACGTTGTATGAAGCATGTGAGACATCTGTGTTCCTGAAACTCGATCATAAACTGTCTGTCTAATAGCAAGCAATATATATATATATATATATGCATAATGTATTGCACCCAAGTCTGATTTCTGACTGCATGCCAAACAAATCACGGTATAATAATAATGCAATACCATAATAAACATTATAAAAAGGAAAAGAAGAAACATATAAAAGATAAATAAAACTAAAAATATGGCAGGATACCTGAATACTCCTAGTTGTGCAGTGAACAAAACTAGATACATTTTCAGAACTATTTAATAACTATTTCGACTGTTCCGAAGTTACGTCAGTTGAAGATAACAATAGCTCATGTTATACACAGTCCAATTGGAACATATTACCATGCACCGAACAGAAACTTACAACTGCGCGTAGGTCATTTGCATATCCGATGGCTCGGTCCCCTGCTCCTGTGGGACTCGAGAACCATAGCGCAAAAAATGCAAGCGTTGCAGAGCCCTCTGAACTGTGGACAGAAAATCCACTTCATATGGATCCCATCGGGTAAGCGAGGAGTCATTGGCCGTTTCCAGTCCCGCGCCACATGTGCCACTACCGTCACCAATGGTGGACGAGACCGACGGGGAACAGCTGCCCTCGGCCCAACAATAATTTAGCAACGAATTCAAACTGGGTTGCGATCCTCCGGCATAAAATGTCGGTTCACCGGAATGGATGATGCCAGTGGCAGTCGACGACGCTACAGCCGTGGATAACGATGATGAGGGTGATGGAATCACAGGTGGAGGGGCACCGGTTGCCGCTGGACTACGATGATTCTGCCCGACCCCCGGAACAGGAGTTGGTATGTCCTGTCCTAGCTGTTCTGCACTTGTCGTTCGCATACGTCTTCCACCAGCCCCTTCCGAAAGTATCTCCGGTCGATGAAGGTACCTGGCAGCTATCTGCAGTCGAGTTGCGGCGGTTGTGCCAAGTGAACTTTTTCGGCTGGACAAAGGTACTCCACCGTAGGTCAGAGTGCATTGCAAGCAAAACCATTCGTAAAGATTGGAAGGAACTGGGTTTGGTTCGGAAGGATCGAGCTGAAACGGAGGAGATGAGAGGAGCAAACAACAATGCATGTTTGAGTCCGACCGACAGCTGCTTCGTTTATCATTTATTCAACTATCAGCGGAAAACAGGTAAACTGTCAATGCTGTTCAAACAGAATGAAAAATTGGAAAGGTGGCAAAGGTAACCAAAACATCGGGATTTTCTGATTGATTTATACTGTATGCATTTCTCGTTTTATGAGGGATGTGTGATTTGATTTGATCAGATGACGAATTCATCGTCTAAATGAGATATGAGTTGAAAGGTTAGGAAGTACTAGACAGCTGTTTTAGCTGGTCGGGTAGTGCGAATTCATCGACCTAACTGGGGATCGAACTCGGGACCTCACAGGTAGAACGCAGGCATACAACTCACTCGCCTTCCGGGTAGCGGATCAGACCGTTTCTCATTTTGACTATACACGATATAGCACAACCCATCTTTGCGAGCTTTGTGAAGTCTCGTGTTCGATTCCAATGCAAGTCAAAAAAGCTGTCCAGTGCCTCCTACCTTTCCAGCTTACGCCTCAATTACACGAACAACTCAACAATTAATTTCCGGTGCGGTAATGGTTCATTTATTGGTAAGGAAACACACATTCACACCCTTAGTTGAACCCTTGCCAATGGGCGTATGATCGGATGCAATGGACACCGGCCCTAATGGATTGCGGTTTTTACACAGTGCCCCACCGACTTGCGGGTCGGGCTTTGGCTAGCCGAAGGTTCCGTAAGAAACTTCACCTTTATTGTCCTGGGCAACCTAGCAGCATCGCACTCTTGAGCAAATACTAGACATTTTTATCACGATTATTGTGCCCTGATTTGTTTACCACAGTCTGAAATCAGGCGTGTGTGAAAATAAATATAAAAAATTTCATCCAGTAAGACAACTGAAAACGTTACACCATGAGAAAACTTATTTTACACTGGAAGTATTCTATGGAACATTACTAATGGCAAAGTTAAAGAGTCGATTATAGGACACCGATGTTGAAACAAAAAATGACGCTAAAATACGGTGGTGTAATAGCAGTAAATTTGGCTGGTAAACTCTTCCTCAATATTCGCCCCTCTTACAAGATGAGTGCAACGTTAATGTATGATAATAATCTGGCATACAGTCCGAATGAAAAACACGGAGAATAATTCAGACACCATTCACGTCATCACAAACGACCGATCGGTGAATATTGTGTACATATGAAATGCTAGAAAAATGAAAGATAGAACGTACCAGACCTTGAAACTGTTGGCTCAATTGTGGCAGCAGCGGAACCTGGCTCAAATCCCGTTTCAAATCATTAATTCTGTAAGGAGAAACCAGTCGGAGAAACACAATGAGTTAGAATAGAATGAGAGGGAAAGATGCGAGGAGGAAATGGCAACTGGTTACTGAGTAATTGAGGACACAAGAACAAATTGACATACACACACATTTGGAATGTCACTTGTGAAAATCCATTGAGAATAAGTAACATAAAATCTTTATTAACGTTTATTTAATGCAGTGACTATATTCAGGGAGTGAATGTCGAACAAAAACTATTGTCATGTGTGCAGTTCACAGGGCAGTGTTTTCAAACCGTATAAAGCAATCACAGAACATTCAGCACGTCAAAAGAGATATACGAGAAGGCCTCCGAATCAGTCTGATCGAAAGCATACCCACATTAAAGACAGGAGCGGTATCAGAGACATCTGAGACTAACCGGTTATGAATATTATGCAATTATTATGCAATACTCCGTCGTCGAAGGGGACTACAACACTCAAAACAAACATGAGATCCGATACATTTATAACATTTTTTTGTACCACTCACTGTTGGAACTTCTGTTCCCATTCCAAGTGATTGTTCTCAAACGGGGCGATATCTCTTCGGGCAATGGCTAGGCGTTTCCCCTTATCGGCTGCAGCTTCTGCCAGATTGGCTAATGCGGCCTGCCAACCCTGGTATAGGTAACGGTGGTG